ACCTGGTTGTGCCTGGCATTGCTTTTCAGTCCCCAGAAGTAGCAAAATCCCTAAAGTGGCAAAATGCCAGCAGTGCGTATTAATATATACAGTTGCCTCACACCAGGACAGATTGTTTGCCCATCTAGCTGGTATTGTCTCCTCTGACTGACAGTAACTCTCCAGGGTCTCAGCTAGAAGTCTTTTTTACTAGTTGCTGTCTAAACCCTTTAACAGTAGATGCCAGGGATTGAACTTGGGACCTTCTGTATGCAGAGCATATGTGGTTACTTAAAATATTGTGGTGCATCTTATGCTACCACACAACCCTGAATACAACTAATCTCATCTGACTTTAGAACCTGAGCTGGGACAGACCTGATTGTTTGTACTTTAGTAATATCTCCAGATAGGTCTAGAAAAGAGGAAACACTTGGGTCAATAATGGGCTGGATGACCAGTGGTCTGACTCAATATAAGGCCATTTCCTATGTGCCTAAAGATACTTCTCTCCCAGAACAAAAACTCCCACTGGAGACTCATTCTGGCAGCTCCGTCATCAGCTGGTTCCACCTGGGAAGGCACAATGTTGAGTGATTGATTCTGAGTCTGGGAAATAGGTCATGGGTCTGTAACTGTCATAAAAATTTGCAATTCCTCTCTGCAGTTTCATATTCAGCACTGTGCTGTAAGAACGGATACAGATATACCTACTGTTTTGAAAAGGCCGCGCAGGGTCAATGAAAGAGAATTTGGTTGAAATAGTGATGGAAACAATGCTGGAGATGGAAATGAATTTTATTTTAAATATCAACACAAATAACCTAACAATGGCAAATGCAGCTAGACCAAGCGGAATGTGGATCTGAGTATCCCCAGGACCAGAACCGATTAACTGGATTTTGTTTCAAACTGTTTGCAGTTGTAATGGAATATGATTAATTTAGTTCGACTTCTGTCAGAGGATTTAGTTTGGTTCTCTTCAGACTCAATATATGAGGAAATCTGCAACCCACTTTGCAATTCCATTTTGGAGAAAGAAAGCAAATTGCATCAAGGTGTGCCATGGGAGGAGTATTGTCTCCACCAAAACCATGTCCACCAAAATGTACTGTTAGTTGCAGAGAGTAATAAAAATTCTTGAAACACATGATTGCTTGTAATCAAAGAAAAATCATTAGAAAATCCAATCAAGGCTTTCCTTTACCACACTGAGTTTATCTCATAGATATAATAAATGGGACAGCAATCATAGAGATGAACAACTTTCCCGTGTAATTTAGTTTCATTGTGTTTAGTAGGATTTGTGTGTGTTGGATAGTGCACCAGACTTTGCTGCTTAGCCATCAGCTAGAGAAGGAGGTACAGTGCTGAAGAAACAAGCATTGGTTCAGAATCAAATCTATTTGATATTAAGTGATAACTTCCAAACACTGTTTGGAACATACAAGTAGGAGATAAGTAGCTTTAAATATGGCATATCTTAAAGTTTTGCCCTTTGGCGTTAATGCCAACTTCAAACACATAGTAACTCTTCATAAAACAAAGCTTTGCATCATGTGTTTACTACAGGATTATTTATCATGTAATTTCTTGCTAGTCATTAAAAAGCAGTATATTTCCAAGCCTTTACAGATTTGTAATTTCACCCCCCAGAAAGCTGAAGCATGATAAAATAAGACAGATAATGATAAATAAGCATATGAGTAAGCCTAGCTGGAAGGAGAAAAGTATACTATTAATGTCCCTCCTGTGAAGTTAAATCCTATTTCTTTTAGCTGTTTCTTCATTAGTTAATGAGGTCTCGCAAAAATGAGTTTTTTTTAAATAGTATTTTCTCATCCTTGCCCATAGAACAAACTTTAAATCTTACAGGTTGAGTGTCCTTATTCAAAATGCTTGGGGGCAGCAATGTTCTGTATTTCAGCTATTTTCATATCTTAAAATACTTACATATGAGGATAATGAGATATCTTGGAGACGGGGCCCAAGTCTAAACACGACGTTCATTTATGTTTCATATACACCTTATGCACACAGCCTAGCAGTAATGTTATACAAAATATTTTATTTTATTTTTTTTGCATGAAACAAAGTTAGTATACACTGAACCATCAGAAAAAAGATACCACTATATCAGCCACTAAGTGGATTTTGAAATATTTTGGATTTCAGAATTCTGAACAAGGAATGCTCAACCTGCAATAATAAACGTTGTCATCAGTAAATGCACAATAAATTTAGGCAATACATTCCCTCTGGTGTATGGATGAAAGAGGGGGAATAGACCCTAAAACCAAAAATAAAATGGAGAAAACTGTATTTGAATCTGATAGCATGATGGCATTCTTCACACCTAAATATTTTGAATTAAATATGAATATTCTGTATTTATTTATTTATTTAATAGCCCACTTTTCTCTCAACATGGGACCCAAGGCAGCCTTAAGGGATTTGTCAATGACTGCCTTTGAGACTGAGAGAGTGTGACTTGCCAAGATCACCCAGTGAGTTCCCATGGACAACTGGGGGTTCAAACTCTAGTCTCCAGAGTCACAGTTTTTGTTGTTGTTTATTCATTCAGTCGCTTCTGACTCTTTGTGACCTCGTGGACCGGCCCACTCCCTGTCGGCCGTCACCACACCCAGCTCCTTCAGAGGCAAGCCAGTCACTTCAAGGATAACATCCATCCATCCATCTTGCCCTTGGTCGGCCCCTCTTTCTTTTTCCTTCCATTTTCCCCAGCATCATTGTATTCTCTGAGCTTTCCTGTCTTCTCAGGATGTGGCCAAAGTACTTCATCTTTGCCTCTAATATCCTTCCCTCCAGTGAGCAGCTGGGCTTTATTTCCTGAAGTATGGGCTGATTGGATCTTCTCACGGTCCAAGCACTCTCACAATTTTCCTTCAACAAAAGCATCTATCTTCCTTCACTCAGCCTTCCTTATGATCCAGCTCTCACATCCATAGGTTAATACGGGAGATACCATTGCTTTGACTATGCTGATCTTCATTGCCAGTGTGATGTGTCTATTCTTCACTATTTTATCAAGATTGGTCACAGACTCATTGCTGAGCCTGGAACCCCAGGTCTCAACGGTAACGAGGGGAGCATTTGCACAGTTAAAACTTGTGTGCCAGCTGTGCCCGTACCTTGGGAAGTCTGACTTGGCCACAGTAATCCATGCTCTGGTTACATCCAATATAGACTAAGGCAACGCTCTCTATGTGGGGTTGCCTTTGAAGACTGTCCGGAAGCTTCAAATGGTCCAACATTCGGCAGCCAGGTTACTAACAGGGGCAGCGCTCAGGGAACATACAACACCTCTGCTGCACCAGCTCTACTGGCTGCCAGTTTGCTACCGGGCACAATTCAAAGTGCTGGCTTTAGCCTATAAAGCCCTAAACAGTTCTGGCCCAACTTACCTGTCCGAATGCATCTCCTCCTATGAACCAGCTAGGACATCAAGATGGTCTGGGGAGGCTCTGCTCTTGGTCCCGCCTGCATCACAAGTATGTCTGACGGGGACGAGAAACAGGGCCTTCTCAGTGGTGGCCCTTCGGCTGTGGAACCCCCTTCCTACAGAAATTAGATCGGCCCCCTCCCTGTTAGCATTTTGGAGGAAAGTGAAGACCTGAGTGTTCGAGCAGGCATTTGAATAGGCAGTGTAACGAATATAGGAATATGGAACAATTGGATGATGAGACTGGATCTTGATTTTAACTATGAGACAATAATGAGATGTTATATGATGTTTAATTGATTATTTATCATTTATTTATTTATTTATTTATTTAGTACACTTGTATACCGCTAATATCTCAGCCTAAAACGGCGACTCATTGCGGTTTACAATATTAAAAACAACAATATTCCGATAAAAATATAAAACATATACATATACAATACACAGTATTGGGCCACCAATACAGACCAATGCATCTCTTAACTTAAATGATAATCCAATAACATTATCATGTTATTGTTTTAATTGTTTTTAACTGTTTTATGATGTTTTAAGCATTGAATTTTGCTATTGTGAACCGCTCTGAGTTGCTCAAGGGCTGAGAAGAGTGGTATACAAATATAGTAAATGAATGAATAAATAAATAAATAAATCTGAATTTACAAAAACATTTGTTATACCAGCAAAGTGCCCTTGTTTGTCATCACAGTAATGACAAACAGCACTGTTGTTAGCCATTTTTAATGTAATGTCTCATAATTTGTTTTTAGGTTGTACATTGTAATGTTTATTTATGTTTTAGTTTTTTATGTCAATGGATTGTTCTTGTTTTTATTTTATTTTTATGCTTAATTCCTTTGTTGTAAGTTTTCTGTTCTTATTCTCCATTATTCTGTATTATTTTGATGTGTCTGTACCTATTTTGAGGCACTGAATGTTTAGATCACTATTTTTATGTGTAAACCGCCCTGAGTCCTTCCAAGGAGAGAGGGAAGTCTAGAAATAAATTATTATTGTTATTATCATTATCATTATCATTATTATCTGTTGCCACTTCATATACCTCATATTAAAAGTACATAAAGAAATTTAAGAAGGCAGACATCATCTCTCTGTTATAAGCAACTGGCAGTTTATTTCAGTATTGTCCTGGAAACATTTCAGAACTATTGTGATAGATGTTCTATAATTTAATTCTCAGGTATTTTACCATTAGTGGTCATATTCTTCCAATATCAAATGCAAATCCCTTTCTTCACAACCAGTATGTTTAAAAAATAATAATAATAAAGCGCTATTTCAGACTTTGCATTTTAGATCTGATAAATGTGAAACCTTTTGGATGTTATGTTTTTCTGCTTCTCTCCTTTTCCTAGCATGAACATGAGGAAATTCAGGACATGTTGACAGCCAATATTAATAAGCTTCGGAGTAATACTGGCAATGGCCAAATACAACTCTGGCAGAGCTGAGCTCTCTTTACAATAATAAAAGGATTGTGTTCACATTTGCTTCTTGCTTTTCCTAAATTTTCTTTCCGTTTTTTGTTTTGCAGGTGATTCATGTAACAGGAAGGTTACGCCTGCGAGTGTCGCTATCCCATGGGCGGACCGTCCCCAGCCAGATCATGGGGCTTGTAGTGGTTGCTCATGCTTTGCCTCCTCCTACGATCAATGAAGTCAGAATTGACTGCCACATGTTTGTAACTCGAGTAAACATGGACCTCAATATCATTTACTGTGAAAACAGGTACAACATTTTGCCTTTTGTTTTCTTTTTCCAGTGTTTCACCATTCTTTTTGGAACAGGGCATTGGTTACTTATAAAGATGGGGGTTCTAACACTGTGTTTTATTTCAGCTAGACCTATAGGGATACACATAGGAAGGGAGAACTCGTTTGGAAATTTGGGTTACTGAGCTAGGAGCTTAGATGCTGAAGGTTGCCAAAGGAGTTAAGCAGGAAAGAAAAATATGGAATTAAAATGTTGCTTTTCTGACAGCAAAACTTCTGTGGTATCCTTTGGAGTAACAGTTTCTTCAATGGGAGACTGAAACCCAAGATAATATGATGAGTGGATGAGAAAATATATTATAGAAGCCACATTTTCCTAACCCTGTTCACTCACAAAAATAGTTAGATTGAGAGAGAGAGAGAGAGAGAGAGAGAGAGTCCTAAGGATACTCCCAAAGGCTCTGTGAGTGATTTAGATCACTTCTAATTTTCTATCAGTTTGTCAAGCATTTTGCTATCCTCTTTTTTCAGGTATAGCCATCCTCTTGTGAAGTTTGTGCTACTCCAAAAGGTTATTTTGGGGGGTGGGGAATGGGGGAAGGTTGCTGTGAATATTGCTTCTAATGGCACAATGATACTGAGATGTGATCCAATATACATATTTGAAGGTATCTTTAATCCATTAAAATACATCAATTCTGAGTCCTAGTATTGAGGAAAGTTCAATATATAGATTAATAAATTATTGTGCTTGATTGACTGTTGTTGGCAGTAGTGATCATTTTGCAGTACTAAAATAAAATTAAGCTTTTGGGTGGTTCTGAAGGACCAATGGGAGCAAAGGCCACATAGGACCTTCCATAGGTAGCCTACAGATCTTACAAATCCCATCTCAGTGTTCCAAGATTGATTATAGAAGGCAACATTACACAGAACGGAATAATTTTCGCCCCACAACCAATGACACATACAAAATATATAACACATTGCTTAACTTCACTCATGTAACTGAAGAACTGTTATATTCACAAACTTTCTCATTCTTGACAAAAGAAAATTACCCCAGCACATTGAGACACCCTACTAAGAAGGTCAATGACCATAACGTTTTTGTTTTTGTTTTTTGAATACTTTTTTAAAAATAATAGTGGTTTCGGACAAAAAGGCTTGTGTTTCACACTCATTCCAGTTTGTGCAGGTTTTGGAATTGTTGGTACAAACACATTTTTATTTTAAAAGTCCCAAAAATGTGTGAAAAATCATTGACAAATATACAAGAACTATTGTAATTTTACCCAGGAGGGAGCAAACTCCACTGTTCCCATCCTTCCATAGTGAGAGCCAGTCATTTATTCCTGCTCTCTGTTTCCTTTTCTTTAACTGGTTTTCAATCCATAAAGAAACTTTCTTATCCTGTGCCTGCTAAGTTTCCTGAGGAGACTTTGATGTGGGACTTTTATCAAAAGCCCTTGGGCAGTCCGATTAGACAATGTCTACCGATTCATTCCTCTCCACATGCGTACTGACACTTTGAAATAACTTAGAGGATTAATAAGACAGGAGTTACCTTTGCAGAATTGACATTGATTCTTTTCCCCTTCCATATGTTTGCCATTTTATCCTTAATAACATTGGAGCGTATAGAACTGCCATGGGTAATTCTGCCTCTTGTTTTTGTTGTGTGACTTCAAGTCATTTCCTGGCAGAATTTGATCCAGGGGAGGTTGCTCTTTCCTTCCTCTGAAGCTGAGAGAATATGACTTACCCAGGGTCACCCAGTACATTTTCATGGCCAAGCAGAGATTCAAACCCTGGCTTCCCAGGACCCTAGTCGAACACTCAAACCACTAAACCATGCTGACTCTCTTGTACATATGCCCATAGTCCTCACGTATTATCTGATGATTTTCAATGAATAGAACAGGGAGTCCAAATTCTCCAGTTTCACAGGATCCTCCTGCATTGCATTCCTTGGAATTTTGAGGTAATCCCTAAATGGGCAGTTAAAGCTTTCCTTAAAAACTATTTAAAAACCAAATCTCCCAACAACCTTCTAAACAACAATAAATTAACAAATTTTGAGATGTCATAATTATATATATATATATAGAGAGAGAGAGAGAGAGAGAGAGAGAATTTAGTTATATTGTATATAATTAAACACAAATTGAGTATGTAGGCTATGAATCCTAGTTTGTATAGGGATTTTATGACTTCTGCTCACACTCTAATAAAATACAGAAGCATATACTGGCAGTGATTTGGTTTCTGTCAGTGATTTGGTTACACGTCCAAATTATTATTGTTCTGTTGTGTCATCTGTACAATAAAACAAACAATCAATAATGGGTCTTGCTACAGGCATGCAATCTTAAATATGTGTGTGTACACATACACAGAGGGATGGAACAAGAGCAAATCACAAAACTATACAATTGCAAAGTAAGTCATCCAAACTGTCTTAATAATGAGTAAGATTCTCCTTAGCCTGTTTTACTTGTACTCTGATTGCTCCACAAGCTTATCCATGGTACACAAAGGAGAGAATAGTAACCCCTGGCCCTCCAGATGTTGGACTTAAGCTCCCATCAACCTTTGCCATGATGTTATCAAGATCTGGAGGGTCTTTTGTATGGAAGCATTCTGAGTTGTGAGTCTGCTTTTCATCTTAACAAGTATTCTTGCTATGTAATATCCTACTTTTTTGATTAGAAAAATAGATGTTCAGTTTTCTTTAAAAATACTCTAATCCACATAGAGATTACAGTATCTAATATATTCACATTTATCCTATGAAATAAGATGTAGAAATATCACTGCTTTCTAAGAGTTTTTGAGGAATAACCTGTTAAATGGATTCTTAACCCTAACCCGGAACTAGTCAATTTACTGCCAAAGACCCCTACTGCTATGAAGCAGCATCAATCAGCATCGGACTGTCCGATTCTTGATCCAGGACCCATGCATGGCTGCCAACCCTGTTTCTCATTGTAACCAATAAACAAGTTGTGGCCTTTGGTTATCCCCAACCATTGGGATAACCATCTGTCTTTCCTTGCGGACTCCTTGAGAAGGGAGGTTGGTCACCATCTCCCAGGCAACCACTCTAATTGTTATGGCTTAATGCTAGAGAATCCTGGGATTTGTAGTTTGGTGAGACACCTGCACTCTTTGGCAGAAAAGGCTAAAGTTCTTGTAAAACTAAAATTCCTATGATTCCATTGCATTGAGTCATACCAATTAAAGAAGGGTCAAGACTGCATTAATTCTACAGTGTAGATGCACCAATAGCAGCTAGACAATAATCTGCAGCCTGTGACAAGGCAGCTGAGCAAGGGTCCCCAAACTAAAGCCTGTAGGCTGGATATGCCCCCCCCCAGGTCATTTACCCAGTCCCTGCCCTAAACTTTAGACTTAGGGTTGCCCTAATTATGAAACAACTTGAAGGCACACAACAACAACAACAACAACAACAACAACAACCCTAATTAATTTGACTATCTCATCAGCCAAAAGCCGGCCCACATTTCCCATTGACAAATAGGTAAGTTTATGTCAGTTAAAATTGCTCTTCATTTTAAATGTAATATTATTATTTCATATATATATCTATATGTTTGCACTACAAATAAGAAATGTGCAGTGTGCTTAGAAATTAGTTTTTTCAAACTATAATCTGACTCCCCAACAGTCTAGGAGACCATGAACCAGCCCTCTGCTTAAAATGTTAGATGGCCCCTAGATGGACACTATTCCCATTGTCTCCTTTTAACCAACTCAAGATAAGCAAAAAACAAATGACGATACTTTCACTCCCAGCTCATTTCTTTATCTGACACACATTGAAAGGACATAGAGGGAGAGAAATGCCCATTTCAGTTCTTCCAGACCCAAAGCAACAAGGCTGCTATCCGACATGTGTGCAGCAAGAAAACTGTGTGTTACCTTCTCCTCTTCCACATTCACCTCCAAGTTGTTTCATCCTGCAACACCTCAACTTAATCTCAGCCCACAGATGGAGAGCTTCCATCTACAGCAAACTTTCACTCTCCACTCTGGAGGAAGAGGCTAGAGGTAACAGACTCTACTGTTTCCAGATGATGAGAGCAAATGGTTATAAAGAAAACTATCACTTCTGCAAGTGATTTTCTGTCAGATACCGAGAAAATGGCAGGTAGCTCCCTAATTTGCGGTAATATTTTTATCACACCTAGTTCTTACCGTCTTTCAGACTGACTGCAGGGAGTAGCTTTTTTCCAGTCATTGCTGCACTCTAAATGTGTGAACTCTGTACTTGGTTAGCTCTGGCTCTTCACTGATATTAACTATCTCCCATTTGGGAGCAACCCTACAAAATATTCCCTTCAAATCCTAATGGCAATTAGCTCCTTCAAAAGGATTTCCCTCCAAATGATAGGATGTCCTATTAAAAACATAAAAATGAATTAAAGGGAAGGAAAAGCCTGCACTGAGCAGGCCAGGCTGATTTACTCAACATGTTTTTCAATTTGGGGGTATTTTTTTAACACTGGCGCCTCAGGACATTGACATCTGGACAATCAATAACAGAAACACACATACATAGAGATGCTGAGCAGAGCACAGAGCAGGAAGAGCTACTGAAAGGATTTAAAAGTTTCTGAGCAGAATAAACCACAAAGTCCCAGTTGAAAGAGTCAGAAGTGAAAGTGGTGCTCCCAGCTGAATAAGACTAAAAAAGATAACACCCTCAGGCATCTGGATGTCTCCGCATTTAAATGATATCGCTTGAAATGTCAGTTTGGACTTTGTGCTAGGAAACAGCTGAAGAGGATTTTGTGTGTATGTGAATATACCCAATAGAAGACCAATCTGTTGAAATGAAAGGTGTCTCTAATCATTTCACATAAGCATGGCATGTTCTTATTTCATTATGTAACCTTGAATTATCTTGCTTGTTTAATGGAGAGCTTTGTATTTTAAAGAATTATATTATCCTATTGGCTGAGGTCAAGAGCAGACCTACTGAAGGCTGCCTTTGTATTAGCTTTCATGGGCTGGATTCAACAGCCTGCTGTCCTCCAGATGTTTTGTACTAAAATCCCTTTAATTCCTACTCAGTGGCCATACAGGATGGGCTTGATGAGAATTATGATTCTCATCAAGCCCATCTGGAAGCACCAGGTTTTCTAGTTCTGCTTTTTAGATAAACAAGAAATTAATGTAATCTTGGTTTGATTTTATGTCTTATACTTACAGTGCTCTGTGTTAATAAACTGCAGCAGCCATACAGGTGTGCTAGATTGATGGAAAGTCGGCTTCTAAGAAACCAATCTCCGGATTCTCTGTATAGCAGATAAGAACATGAGATTGGATCATGCCAACATCTGGGCCAGCACAGCAAATAATGTTAAACTAGTATCACAAGAATAGCTTTGCAGAGAGATGTTGAAGTAAAATACCTTAGAATCAGAATAAAAGACGTTTGCGATTCCTCCATTTTTCCCTGTCCTCAATTTATAGGCTCTATTTTTCCTTTATAGGATTAGTGATTACATGGATCTGACCCCTGTAGATATCGTAGGGAAGAGATGTTACCACTTCATTCATGCTGAAGATGTGGAAGGGATCAGGCACAGTCATTTAGACTGTAAGTATTCTAACCTTGTGCAAAATGTTTTTGATTTTTTAACTGGTTTCGAAATGTTATTTACTTGCCAATACTATGGACATTTGTGTTACACATTCTTTTGTTGGATTACTTTGGGAGTATTTCAGATCTAACAGGCACACTTTTCTCTGTGATGCAAGATATGGTCAACAAATACTGAAACTAGAAACTACTGTAATGAATTCTAGTTATACCACATTTGCATTTATGCTCACGGCATATGTGGGTTTTGTAGCAGAGACTCAAAATACCTTACAGATGAGATAGACTTAGCAGGAATAAAAATCTCTTTTGTCTCTATTCATTGAGCACAAACATAGCAATTTTCTCATTGATTAATTACTTAGTTGTTTTAATTAAGAATGGGCCTAAACCCACTAGAGCTAGGGTTGATGAGGTAACATTTAATACAACTCAAACTTCTTTAAGAAGCAATTCAGGAAGAAAAAAATAGGAATTGCTATCTTGGGGTAATTTAAATGTCCCACTCATTCAGTGCATTGTCTTTTAACAAGCATCAGCCAACGTTTTGGGGAAAGCCCTGCATTACAAATGCTCTTTTGCTCCTGGTTTGTTATTGTTACAAGACATGGACAAGAAAGTGTGCAAATGGATTCCTGTGTAATGAATGGTGGCTCTTGTTTATTGAGATATATTTTATAACCTATTTCCTTGAATGTTTCAAAAGGACACTTTTGCACATGAACAGCCTAGTGAATCTGGCATAATGAATCTAGCCTTGATCTTCATCGTAACCACTATTTTGGAGCTTTGGTATTTAATCTTTCACTAGTGTTCAGTTTTCAGTGTTTTATGTTTGAAAAATAGAACAAGCATAGTTGGAAAATTCAATTTCGCTAGTATAATCCTGCTATACAATTGGTAGAATTTTTTGTCCTATCCTTTAAGATTTGCCTGCTTTTTCGATGGTTAATTCCTTGTTAATACACTGTATATAGATATACAGGTGTTACATAATTTGTGACTCAGTATGTAGTTTGTGGATGAGATCATGTGCTTGAAGAATTTGGTCTAATTCATGTTTTGTGCTTGTGTCATAATGTACAAGTCAGGATTATGTTAGATTGATAGTAGTAGCCTCATATTGCATTATTGAGGACAGGAAAGGGACAAAACCTTCTTCTTGAGGTAGAATTCCAATGTGGAAAGACGACATTGGTATTGACATTATAGTAATATGCCCATTTGTTTAAATACTTGATCTTAAAAGTAGGTAATTACTAAGAAATCCTTTAATTGGTTATTATCCCTAATTCTTGACTGTCATACCTAATAGCTAATTGTCATAGTTAATAACTTTTCTTCATACATTCATCTAATCTTTTTTAAGGCCATTTAATACTACCACCCATCATAATTTCCACTCATAAAAATTGGAAAACTATATGTTAACTTTTTGTCATATATATATATATATATATATATACACACACACACACACACACACACATACATACACACACACACACATACACTTTTCAGAGAACAGAGTGCATTCCATGGTATTATCAATTTACTTATTATGTTATTTTGAATTGCTTGTATTTGGGGTAGTTGCACTGACAGAACTACTAGGAGAATTGGCAGAATCTTAAGCCTTTATTTAAATTAACCAAAAGACAATTGAGGAATATCTCACCCATGAATTCAAGATGTTTGTTAAGGCCCAGAAAAGTCTTCTCAAAGAGTACAAGGGCACTATTTTCTACCAGAACCTTTACAGGGAGAAGACAACAGATATGGCAATCAGTTTTATATTGCTTAGGCATAGCACACAGAAGGTGGACAGCCACAATAATAAAGTCATAGGTTGAGTAACCCTTATACAGATATCCACAATACTCCAAAATCAAAAAAAGTCCACATGTGTGGCTAATATAGTGTTATCTTTGCATTCTGATGGTTCAGTGTACACAACGTTGTCAGGACTCAGTTTCTCCGGCCTTGGCATTGGCGCCAGACGAAGGACACTGATAAGACATTTGCAGCTGCTGACCCTGGGATGAAACAGCCAGCAGTTGGCGGGGAATTTGCGTGGGTTTTGTACTTGGGCGGGAAGGCGCTGTTCAAAGCAAGGGGGAGTGTATATAAAGGGCAGCCATCTGTGGCCCGACATTCTCGGCTTTTCACATGTTATTGTTTCCAGAAGTAAAGTTCTCTTTGACACCAGAGCGTGGTCCTGTGATTTCATTGGGAGCTACCACTGTGAACTGACACAACGTTGCTTCATGCACACCATTATTAAAATAGTATATAAAATGACCTACAGGTTATGTACATAAGTTATATAAGAACCATAAATTAATTGTGAGACAGTCCCAGTTAACATTCCAATTAAAGCTGCTCTTTAAACCAGCTGGGGGGTTTCGAACACTCCTTTGTAAAGCATATTATAATAATCCAAGCAAGATGTAACTAAGGTATATGTTATCATGGCCAAATCTGAAGAAATGGTTTACAAGCATTCACTGCATAACACACACTCCTGCCCACTATCAAAACCTGAGTCTCCAGGCCCAGGGTTGGATCCAGGAATAACTCCAAGCAGCAAACCCAGTTCTTCTGGGGAATGTAATCCCATTCAGCACAGGCTGACTCCCTGCTCCCAATCGACATTCTGACTATCCAGGAGCACATTTGTCTTGCCTGGATTAAGTTTCATTTTGTTCACGCTGTTGCTTTAAATCATTCTTTAGGTTGTGTGCATGCAGTGTGACTATGCTGCAACCAGGGGTGGCTCGTCCATTACGCGAAGTAAGCGGTTGCAGAACACTTTTTTTTGCCAGGGGCGCAGAGGCGTCTCTGTAAATGCCCCTCAACCGCCACTTGAGGAGTGCCCCCTCATCTCACAACAGCCCTAGCAGTCCGGGAGGAGCCTCGGCTTTCTTGCCTCGCTGCCGGGCGATCCTCTTCCCAAAGGGGGTGGGCCCTTGAGCCTCGCCTTGCCCCTCTCGTTCCTGTCCACCCGGCCACCGGGTGCGCGAGCAGAGCCGGCGCTCAATCATTCTCCGTGTTCGATCCCTTCCCCATGACCGGCTCCCTTTCCCGATCCCCCGGCGCTCCACCCGCCTCCTCTCCTCTCCCCAATCCGCGGGTGGGCCAAGGGGGGGCCGCCGCACCTGGCCTGCTTCGGGTCTGGAGGCGTGTCTGAAGACCCCAGCACCAAAAGTCGCCTCTTCTCCTGACTTTCTCTTCAGCCATTGGGACCAAGAGAGAGAGAGAGAGAGAGCGCCCCTCCGGCTGGAGGTATCTCCCACCTCCGCTCCCTCCTTTGTTTTTGCGCCTACCTTCAGGAAAGGTGGGCATCTCCACCTCTCTCTCTCTCTCTCTCTTGGTCCCAATGGCTGAGGAGAAAGTCAGGAGAAGAGGTGACTTTTGGTGCACACGCCGGGGTCTTCAGGCACGCCTCCGGACCCAAAGCGGGCCAGGCAAGGGAGCAAGTGCGGCAAGTGTAGTTACTGGATGTATAGTTCACCTACAATCAAAGAGCATTCTGAACTCCACCAATGATGGAATTGAACCAAATATGGCACACAGAACTCCCACGACAAACAGAAAATATATATCAATGATTGGTTGGGGGAGGCAAAATACTGTTTGCTTACCTTTGAAAATTACTTAGGGCCGCCTCTGGCTGCAACATAGGCCTGTTAGATAAGTTCATTTACAGAAGTGGTTGGCATTTTTCTGTTGTGGTTTGAGTTTGCTGAAGTGGAATTCCTCTTGTCTTACGTTTGCATATTGTTTGTGCTACAAATGCAGGAACATGTTTGATTGCACAGTAGTGAGGCTCACTAACCACTAGATAAACTTATAGCCAGTCTCCTTGATGGAGGTTATTGGGCATAGTGTGCTGGGACAAGGGGCATTTCACCAATGCCTGTTTAAAACCTCCCCAGAAGATCTCAAAATACATACAGGTTCATATGCGAGAATACAGTTCTTCAAATAACCTAGAACAGAGTTTCTCAGACTGTGCTCCTCCAGATGTTTTGGACTTCAGACCCTCCAATTCCTAATAACTAGTAATCTGGATGGGATTTCTGGGAGCTGAATTCCAAAACACCTGGAGAAACCCAACAGGACTTCAAAACACAGACAGGTTCACATGGAAAACTACAATCCTCCAATTAACCTAGACCTGCATCTCTAGCTAACTTCTGTGATTCCCCATCCAGTGTATCATAGTTGCCTGGAGGATTAGGGAAGTTATGTTCCAATACAGGTGGAGGGACCTGGGTTGGAAATTGCATTCAAGTACTTTAAAAAAATATCCCAGCACCACATTTTGCTGGCCCTTTGCTCTCCATTATCATCTCTGTTTTGGACAGACATGGAGGAATGCTATGCCCTTCCATTAGCATGGCAGCAATTCTGCAATAAAGGTTATTACTGCAGAGCTGCATTTGAATACTGGGTCTTTTTTACCACTTCCATATTAATCTCATGTCAAACAAATCTCCTTTTAGTCTGCTTTTTTTCAGATATCCTTCATGGCAGTAATGATAAGAGGAACAAAGATGATTTATATACTTTGTAACATTTTAATATATGAAAAAGCCTCTTTAAAAATCTATGTTCCGGCACAACCATACAATCCTGTTCTGATTTAGCAAGTCCATGTCCTGCTAAAAATATACAAATAGTTGTCACAAAATGGAGAAACATTTATCTTCTCGGTTTGTTTAAAAAATAATAATGACATTCACTGAATAGTAACATCAAGTACTTTTTGGCTGGAAACCCAGACGGGATGTAGAGGAGTCAAGACCTTTAGAGGACATTGTGAATGTTTCTTTGGTCACAAACAAAAGACAATATAACATGAAGTACAAAATGGATATATATTGCTTTTGGGAATACTGTCACTCGCAGTGTGTAGCTACAGATATAATATGTGGGGATTTTTTTTCCATTTTGGAATCTTAATTGAAGTCTAAATTCATAAACCTGACACT